GTCAAGCTATTCACCCCGAAATCCACATCATATGATCTATCACGACGATTTGCAACGGTCCGACTGTGCTGGGCTTCCATACAAGATGCTTTTTCCAAACAGGAAGTGATACTGGTTGTGTAGGGCCGACCGTAGCGATATTACGCCCTCGTTTGGGTCGCTGGGTTGAGATCAGGCGTGAAAACCATGTACAGAAAGTCAAAGCAGGGAGGCCGCCTGGCCGAGAACGCCTGCGGATGATGTAACCATAGCTGTAAATGACAAGCTCAGTAATCAGGAACGAAAATTTGCTTGTGGATGCGATTATCGTGATGTCGTTGCCAAGTGGCTATTCGTGAAAATCTCAGTCTGTGTCCGGAGAGAGGCGGCCGGTTTTGGAGAGTGGAAAATTGACGCGTAACGCGTCAATATTCTGAACACAGTCCGGCAAACATACTCTACAAGTCAAGAGAATGTCAATGCAAAGAAACGATAGTTTATATCGTTACTTCAATTCTGTACTCCATAGTTCGAGATTTGCTCGAAGGTATGACATGATTCTGTATATGGTGGTAGAGGGTCTTCTGCACCGGGATTTGGTACGTGACGCGTGCCAAGAGACCAAGCGTCACCTCCGCCTCGGTCTTTCCGACCCGAACTTTCGAAAGCCTTCACAGTTTACAACGGTGACCTTCCAAAGCTTGTCGCAACATAGCTCTTGCTCATGATTGTGTTTGACGTTTTCAGTTTGTCTTCCGCAAGAAACTATCGTGCTTCCACATGAAACGCCATCCTCCAATGATATGCCGCCACGCCTTTTGAAACGGGTGTCCTTCTGTGAGCAATCATGGTTTGGGTGATTCCAGAAAGTCGGTGAGGCAAGAGGACACTCACCCCATGGGTGCATAGACAGGGTGGCCACTGCGCAGCTCCAGACTTATTCGCGCGCAAGCAACACGCTCAGTCTCGAGATCATTCACTACTCCCTCACAACACACAGTCTCTTCTTCAATACAAGGACTTGCTAGGCTTTTTTCCATGTCTCCGCAAATGCTGACAGCCTCCATGAGATTAAGCACGTTCGATGCCCTGAACGAGGCATTATACGGCTCCGCATACGGTTTCGGCGAACGTGTACTACCCCTGGAATTGAGATCCCGCACCCCACGATTCTTCCTCAAGCTACCAGTCACCTGCCGATACAAAGACGACAAACTCACTCTTTTGTTTGAGAAAGTTACAAAACCGACCTGGAACGCTCTTTGCGAACATGTCGGAGAAGAACGTACCATCAGAGTCATACTGGATGATGGCACGCAATCATACGACGCAAGGCTTTCATTGCCAGGAAGCGAGCCGCTCGAAGACAAGAGGACAGAGGTGGACCTTCGGTGGCAAGAATATGAAGAAGCGGTATATGTGCTCAAGAAGATCCTTGCGTGGATAAAAGAAAAACTACTGAGACGATAAATCAAGAGGCTTCCTCAACGCTGATTGAAAGAGTGACATCTTATCATCCTCAGATTGCCCGGTTCTCTTGGTTGCTGCCAGCATGCTAACCTGTTATGATGTAATCTCCGATCATATGTTGATCTTCAATATACCTCTGGTATTGATCAAGAATGCCGAGTGCTGAAAGCTTGCGGCAATGGCATGACAAAGACTTATGCCGAAGAGCGGGTTGATATTCAGCACGCCGCCCGCCGTAGAAGATTTCGTCTCGAAAAAAGGAAGAGTTGTCGTAACAACGCGACTGGCCTAGAAGCCTGGAAAGATTCGAATCGATTCCAATTCCCGACACGTCAACGGGAACTAGATTAGTGTCGCGCAAACGCCTTCCTTAATCGGGTTTCCACGTGTCCCGGCAGATCGATGATACACATTCTAGGACTCGCCCCAGATTGACGTCTTCACCGCGAGCCTCGTCCGAGAGTTTTGCAGACTTGTCGCCTCAGACCCATACCCTTATCGGACCGGTGAGTGCGGGTTTAACGGATATGTTGTGCACGCACCGCTTGAGGCTCAAAAACGTCGTCAAAGTGGGTCCGATACCAACGGCGTAGATCGGCAAAAGAGCAAAACACTAGGATAGTGATACGGTAACCTCATACCGTCTCTTGACATATTACAAATGCTGGAAAACTTCTAGAAAATGCGTATAAGTATAAGACTACAGCTGGACAAGTAGGGAGTTTGCATCTCACCAAACAATTGTACCTCTCTCTCACATCACTACATTCATCACCTACTCAAAAACATCTCCAAACAACCATGTCTTCATCACCAGACTTCAAGGGATGGGTCGCTCACGACCCCTCTGCCGCCGACGGAAACATGCAATGGGGTGACTACACCCCCAAGAACTTCGAGTCCACCGACATCGAGATGGAGATCAGCCACTGCGGTGTCTGCGGCTCTGACATTCACACTCTCCGCTCCGGCTGGGGCCCCTCGGACTACCCTCTTGTCGTCGGTCACGAGATCATCGGAAAGATCACCCGTGTAGGAGACGATGTCAAAGACCTCAAGGTCGGTGACCGCGTTGGTGTTGGTGCTCAGAGCGACTGCTGCGAGAGCTGCAGGCCCTGCAAGACTAAGCAGGAGAGCAACTGCAACAACTTCGTCATGACCTACAACGGCAAGTACAAGTCTGGCGACAAGGCCATGGGTGGTTACGCAAAGAACTGGCGTGGACCTGCTTCTTTCGCCATTCCCATTCCTGAGGGTCTGCCTTCAGAGTACGCCGCTCCTCTCATGTGCGGTGGTGTCACCGTCTACAACCCCCTCGTCTCCTACGGTGCCGGCCCAGGAAAGCGCGTCGGTGTTGTCGGTATTGGTGGTCTCGGTCACTTCGCCCTCCTTTTCGCGAAGGCTCTCGGATGCGACGAGGTCGTTGCCATCTCCCGTTCTTCAAGCAAGAAGGCCGATGCTATGGAGCTCGGCGCTGATAAGTTCATCGCCACTGGCGAGGACCCCGAATGGATGACCAAGAACGCCGCCGGCCTGGACATCATCATCTCCACCATCTCTGGTGGTTTCCCTCTGGACCAGTACCTCAACCTCCTTGACGTCAACGGCACTTTCGTTCAGCTCGGTGCTCCTGACGACCCATTGCCCTCTTTCTCCCCCATGGGCCTCATCTTCAAGAACTTGAAGATCGCTGGTAGCTTGATCGGCACCAGGCAACACATCCGCGACATGTTGGAGTTGGCCAAGAAGACCAACCTGAAGGCTTGGGTCCAAGTCAGGCCCATGTCCGAGGCCAACGACGTCATTGTCGACTTTGAGAAGGGCCTTCCCAGGTACCGTTACGTGCTCAAGAACTAGGAGTTTATGAATGAATTAGACGATACCCAGTAGATGTAGATTTTGTAGTATAGAACAATTCGAGTACTTGTCTCCTCGATCATCTTCCCCACATCACGATGTTTGCTACCCGTGTTGATCCCGGCGCAGTATGACAGAGCGATCCTTGTCGACAAGAATCTGCTTGCACTAGACGAGGAACTAATGTCCAATCATGATCAGATCTGGTCACTAAGTTGTTGGTTGCACCGAAAGACTGATATCCAGGTTTCGAACACCACATTTCGGGTTACGGCGACATTTAAGGAGGGCAGTGATAGGCGCAATATTCACGCTAATTTTGAGGCCTACATCCAACCAATCAGCGCCTTGTTCGCTTTTGCGAGCATATAGTCGCCTTCGAGACCTGTTTTCATGCTGCTTTTCTTCTTCACCGTGGGGCCTGTGGCCGCCTCAGTGTCCACTCCTTTCGTCTTTCATTTCATCGTCTCGCGTCGCTCTTCTTCGTGTTCTTCCTTGGAAGCCTGGAGCGTACCTACAGAACACAGGAGCCACTGCTACGTTCTTGTTGTAGCGTTCAATTTCCGAATCTAGAGGAAGCGCCTTTCAAGACCAAGATTTACATTATCATCATCTTTTTGTTGACCCGCGCTTGCTCGACCTTCGAGAAACTCCATCCTGTGTTCTACCAGCGCACCAGTCTTCCTTATCCGCGCAAACCGAAGAAGAGCATCAACCACCATCCGAGATAAATGGATTTCCCCATTTAAACGATCGCATCTCATCCTCCCCATGGTCACAACATTCTTTTGCAGCCCTATATAATGACTACGAACCAACATCGTCAGCATCACTACAACCTCAGCAGCCTGCTGCTATCTTTCAGAACCATATATGCCAGGTCTGCGGAAAGACATTCCAACAGCTCTCCAAACTAAGGTTTGTACAGTGTTGAGCAATCTATTCACAATGTTAAGTCTCAGTAGATTGCACTTGCGGACACACGATACCTACAAATGCGAACCTTGCGATGCATATTTTCAAGACAGCAAGGATGCTAGAAAGGATCTAGAACGACACAAGCAGACCAAAGCGCATCGAAAAAAGCTTGGTCTAGACACTAGTTCCTCGCCGTTCGTGTGTCCGGTTGAGTGGTGCGCAAAGAGTATGCCGCGCAAGGACAATCTGAATCGGCATATCAAATCTCAGCACCCTGGTCACGGGCGATTAAAGTAGCAGTTATCTAAAGACAATGTAGAAGCTTGATGCGACTTATGATGCTTTGATGTTCATGTTGATCTTCGCCACTTGAATGACAGTGTAATTAACCCTAGGGCTTTCGCTAGTAAACTAGTAAACATACTTTTGACTCCCAAGTATTCTTCGTCACAGAGTGATCATTAAGACCACGCACATGTTCAGAACTAGAGACCGAGTACGCTCATCTGATTGCCTAATGACTGGAGGGCGTATGTTGCAGTAGATAGCCACATGATTTCATATCGCTCCATTGAAAGTCGTTTTCAGATCCAACACGGCTAGGCCATGCAAGATGAAGTCAAAGCATCGGTAGGCCTCAAGTGTGCATAAATATCTTCTATTGACCGGTCAAAATGTTTTGGCGAATATAAAAGTATCACATCCTCTGTAGATTTCATTCCTCAGCTACAAACACGCTTTCACCGAAACTTCTACCATCGCTTCCATCACTAGTCATGTCTCCCATCTTCTGTTGTTCCAATACTCAGGGGTACAAGAATCGTATCCTGTCCTACGAATCCAAGTTCCAGACTTTTATGGCTTGGGCCAACTATCCTAAAGAGAGCAACGCAGTCTCACCTGACACAGTGCCGTCTTCAGCCGACATTACGTTCGCAATTCAGGTTGTTAAGCAAACGAACTACGGTCCACTTGATAGCAAGCGATACTTCGTCACCGGCTCCGATGGGGTTTTCGTCGAGGTGACTGAGCAATGGCTCATCGATGCGAACTTCGAGAAGCTGAACACGTAAGCATACAAAGAGAAACAATGATGTGAGAAGGCGTTGTTGCTTACAGTGATGAAGGTTCAAGAACTTCAAGTGTGCGACTCACAACAAATTCTTCGAAGTCAACATCTACCAGAAAAATCCAACGAATGCGCACCATTGGCGAGCCAATATCGCTAGACCTGCGACGGAGATAGACTTGTGAGTAGTAGTAGCGAAGAGAGAGGTTGTATGACGACGACACTGTTCTCTCAACATTTGGAAACCCTTTCGTATGAACAGAGGATCTAGTGAGATATACGAAAGTTTTTCTTACGTTGGAGATGTGACAACTGCGGAATTTGGTCACATGGACAGAAAGTTAGTGGAAGGCAATTACTATACTACTTTGATTATCATGTCAATGGTTCTTCCACAGGATGTTTCGTTTAATTACGATTCTGAGTTTACATCACCTCGTTAGAAGCTCTTTGTGATTCCAGTCTTGATACCCTCAAGTTTCTCCACCAACTCTTTCCAAACCTTCTCTTGACCCTTCTTTCCGTCATCGCTTCGCACGAAAGCGCTCGGTTCAGTAATCTCGCAGTCGCTGAGATACTTTCCATGGGTCTCGACGCCTGAAGTACCGGCGTGCACAAGAGTTCTTGATCCCACTTCCGTCGTACGTGCGAGGAAAAAGCGCATGACGGCGAGAAACCCTGGACCTTCCCGACCAAATTCGCTGTTTGCTCAATTAGTATGGATGACGAATGTGAGAAAAAGAGATGACTCACGAGTGGCAGAAGCCAGGGTTAACGAGATTCACCGTCACTGGAATATTCGATTCCGGGTATCGCTCGCAGAATGCGCGGACGAATAGTACTTCCATGAGCTTGCTGACCTGGTATCGATTGCCGAGTCCAACTTCCTTTCCATCGACAACCTTCTCATTCAGTCTCTCGAAGAGTTTACCCTCGGGTGCATTCCTCTCATCGAACGGTGTCCACTCATGCACCTCGGAGCTGACAATGGTAAGTGTGGGTCTAACGTTGAACTTGTTCGCCGTTTCCTTGAGCTTAGGTAATAAAGCGAAAGCCAGCAGGAATGTAGACACCACGTTCACGGTGATGGTTGATTCGTCTTGTTCGAAGACCTCCCAGACGCCGCGGTTCACGCCGGCGTTCAAAACTGCAATATCCACTCGTTCCAACTCTTTGCTAGCTTTTTCGGCGAAATCGAGAACTGATTGGTAGGACGACATGTCCAGTTGCATGACTCTGACTACATCGTTGCGGCCTGTTGTCGATTCAATATCCTTACGCGCCGCTTCACCCTTCTCGATGGAGCGCACGGCAAGAATCACAGTCGAAGCATTGAGCTGAGTGAAGTGACGCGCGGCCTCTTTTCCAAGACCGACGTTGGAGCCCGTGACGATAACAGTCTTTCCAGTAAGATCACCGCTGGGCTTTACAGGTGTGACGAAAAGCTGGGAATTGAGGAAACGGACGATGCCTGCCATGGTGATTGTCTTGTAGTATTTGTGAGTGATGTCGGAGCGGACGAGAGGGAAGCCCGTTGACGTTGAGAGCGCTCCTCCGCTTTTAACTTCCTTGTATCAATGTGGTCGCGCTTAACAAGGGCCGAGCGTGCTTTAACAGACCGCGGGGTCTGGGTTTCAATCTCCCCGTCCCGCAACGCGAAGATGCCTTTGGAAGGTCTATGATGTCACTTACTTCTAGACCTTCCCAGTCAGCTCCATCGAGGCTGCACGCCTGATCATACCGTTACAGGGCCGGACGAACCTTTCTGCACTTCTGAACGATTTCCTGATCGTCATTAGTGCCGGCTAACTGACGGAAGCTATCGTTTAGCTACTGCGGAGTTACACGGATTTAGCTCTCAATCCGTATCTTCACTTGGTGCCTACACCATGTAGTAGCTAGATTGCGCTGGCCACATCTTGCCCATATGTCTTGTCCTTGTGACTCCACGAGCCCAGTGTTTGTAGGTAGCCGAACCTTGGCATGGACTTCCCAGCTGTATCCCAAGCGCATGTTGTGCAGTGTAAGCACGGGACGTTCCGTTTATGCACGCAAGCATCAGCACTTGATCTCAACATCCATGTCACAAATTCACACTCATGTAAGACTACAGGGCAGTCAAGTTCATCGACTGTAATAACAATACGGCACGATATCTAGGCAAGCTACATGAAGCGCATGCAGCACTTCAGCCCAGGTATTCAAGACACGAGCAAATGCCTGCGCCAACTCGCTCATAATCATGCGAACTTCCCCTAGAACCAAATTAGTGTACAAATGCTCAGCTTCACTCTCCGATTTTGGTATCCCCCAACGCAACGATAATGGCGTGCAACTGCACAAGCTAAAGAAATCGAACGCGCAACTCGAACAACCCTAAATCTACCAGGCATCGACGTCGAAGCCTTCCTCGGAGAACTCGGTCGCAACAACGGTTCTCCGCGAGAACTGGCGACCAGCAAGTGCCTTGATAGCCTTTTGCGCAGACTCTGTATCCTTGTATTTGATGTAAATCTTGCCAACACCGAGGTTGACGCGGGCACCGGCGGGACGGGGAATCTTGGTCTCAACGATGGGTCCGTACTTGCCGCACTCCTCTTCGATGTCTTCCTTGATTTCTAGATGTTGTTAGTATCGTGCGATGCTTTCTGGGTTCTTTTCAAGCTTACCTTCGTATTCCTCGTCGTTCAGAAGCTCGTCCGAGGTAACCATGTTCATCAAGCAAATGACACGGCTGTGCTCGTGGTTCTCGGCCGCGCTGGCTCCTGCCAACATGGAAATGGCACCAACACCACCATCGAGACCAGTCGTTTGCTGAAGTCCGACAGTGGCACGTGAAACCTTGAGGTTGCCATCACCAAGCGGGATGTCGTTTAGACCTTCGATGACGGCATCGATGACTCCGTTGTCCGCGTACTCACAGAATGCGATACCCTAAGATCTGTTAGCTTACGAGTCGTGCTTGGTTAGAAGAGTATACTTACGCGGTGCTGGTCGGTGCCGGTGTCCTTGACGAGGGTGAAAGCCTTCAGCTTGCCCATAGTCTCTACGAGTTCTCGAATCTGCTCCTCTTCAATGTACGTAGGAATGTTGACGATGCTCAGCTTGTTAGGGCTATCCTTGACAACAGAGGAAATCTCGTCGCCAGGTGGGTATGCGTTCTCATCGGCAGAGGGAGTAATGTAATCCTTGGGGCGGCGGATGGACAGACCCGACCTGTCGGGAGCTCCTCCGTCGTCGCGCATAGAGATTCCGTTCATAGCCAAAGCAAGGGTCGCATCTTCGGGTGCCTTGAACTCTAGCGCAGCGTACTCCTTGCTAGTAGCAATGTGGGCTGACAGGCACGGGTCGTTTCCGGACACGACGTTGAGACCGTTGAGCTGGTTGTTGAAGAACTCCATAATCTCCTGAGAAGTGCAGCCCGAGGGCAGATTGTGGACATAGAGGCGCTTCGATTGCTTGGCGGCTGATGTTGCGAGAGCGGCAGCTGTGGCAGTTCCGGAAGAGGGCGAGATGAAGGCAGCCAGCTTAGACGGGTCCATGGGCGCAGCGCGGGGGGCACCGGGCAATGGAAACATGCCCGACAGCTTAGCCTGCTCTGCCGTGATGTTTTCGTAGCCTGCAGGCTTGATGTCCCATTGGGTCATGCGACGCTGGCGCTTCTGGATGTTTGTGAAGCTGGCAAGATCCGGTGTAGCCTCGCGCGGCTTGTTGAAGGGCGGAGAGTCTTCCTTTGCCTGACGCGCCCTATCACGTCCGCCACCGAAGCCTCCATCGCGTCCTCCTCGTCCACCTCTGCGGTCTTCGCCGCCAAATCGGTCGCCGCCTCTCTCATTGCGGTCTCCACGTTCTCTTCGGTGGCCACGGTCATCGTCGCGGTCGCGGTCTCCTCGAGGTCGGTCGCGTCTCGAGTACGAGTCGCCCCAGCCACCTCGGTCTCCTCCCCGCTCGCCTCGCTCGCCCCGGTCATCGCGGCGTTCTCGACGTGCGTATGTGTCCTCGCGTTCGCGCTCACGGTAGTCGCGGCTAGAAGAATACGTGTCTACCTCGTAGTCACGGCGGGAGCCTCCGCCGTGGCGGGGAGAGCGTGAACGACGTCGCCGCCTGTCGCCGCCACGGTCGCCGCGGTCGCTTCGGTCGCCGCGATCGCGATGGTCATCTCTCGAGGACTGTCTTGTCAGCATGTGCCCAGTCATGTCGCGACGGGTGTGTGCACTCACGTAATTCCGCGATCCGCTCTGTCGGCCACCGTCTGCTTATGTTAGTCTTGATTCTGGGAGCTGTACACTAGTCAGTACATGTACTGATAGACGTCGCTTACCTCTGGAATAGCTATCGCCGTTCATAGTGGGCGGTTGTGGGTGCTAGAAGCTCTCGCGCTGGTCGTAGTGTTCAGCCGCGTAAGATTCTGCTGCTGCTGGAGGTGAGATGGCGAGACGAGCTGCAATTAGCAGATGTGGATCAAGAAACGACTGATGAATCTACCACGTGCAATTGTCCAAACTTTGGGACGCGATGCTTCTGCGGTGATTGCAGTTGCCGTCGCGGAAAACGTGTGAGAGAAAGTCGGGGCTGCCTTAGCGTGTCCTTGGCGTGATCACCCCTGTCACCTAGGCCGGGCCATGGTATATTCACTCCTGCTCGCATGGGCTTTAGCATGCACCCTTCTCCTACTATTGTTGACCATGGCTTTGCGCGCAGCTGAATGGCACAAGCTGCCTACAAGCCTCACGGAACTCTGCATCAACACCACCCTGCGATGTGGGCAATCGTTCAGGTACCTCCCATGTTGCCCCTTGTACTCGAGTCGCAACAGCTTCTAACGTGCCATCAGATGGCGCAAGTCCGCCGATGATGTCTGGTCAATGGCCCTTCACGGTCGCATACTTTCCCTCCGCCAAGATGCCGACTACCTCCACTACCGCGCAACCTACCCACCTATTACCACCGCCCTTCCTACTCCGCCCCCATCCAATGCGCCCTCGGTTGCGCCCGAGGAAGACGACACTCTTGCTCTCGTCAAACACTATTTCAACCTCGCGCCCGACTTGGGCCAGTTGTACGAGCAATGGGCGGCGTCTGATGCCAACTTCAAGAAGCGCGCTCCCAAATTCACTGGTATAAGAATATTGCGGCAGGATGCCTGGGAGGCTCTGATCGGTTTCATATGCAGTAGCAACAACAACATCAGTCGCATATCTGGCATGGTGCATAATCTTTGCTTGCACTACGGTCCGCTTATAGGAAGCATCGATGACGTACCCTACCACGATTTCCCCACGCCCGACGCCCTCTCAGGCCCCAACGTCGAAGCACATCTCATGAAGCTTGGGTTTGGTTACCGTGCCAAGTACATTGCGAAGACTGCACGAATGGTATCAGAAGATAAGGGCCTGAAATGGTTGGACAGTCTGAGTAACCCCGAGTGTCCACAATTTGGAGTAGAAGAGAAGCTGGCTGGAGACATGCTTGAGGGTGGTCGTGAGGGATATCGACAAGCACATGAAGAGCTTCTTGCCCTGCACGGTGTGGGCCCAAAGGTCGCAGACTGTGTGTGTCTCTTTGGGCTCGGCTGGTCCGAGTCTGTACCTGTCGACACACATGTCTGGCAGATAGCCCAACGCGACTACAGGTTCGGCAAGGGCAAGCACAGTAGCCTAACTGCTGCTACATACGCTGCGATTGGGAACCTGTTCCGAAAGCTGTGGGGAAAGGAAGCAGGATGGGCGCATTCTGTCTTGTTCACGGCGGACCTAAAGGCATTCTCTGACAGGGTTGTTGCAAAAGTTGAGGTCAAGGAAGAGGAGGTAACAATAAAGAAGGAGGAAGAGGATACCACCATACAACAAACGGTCAAAAAGGAGACCACGAAGCGAAAGCGCATAAAGCAGGAGCCTGAGGAAGCGCCCTCTGTTGTCCAAGTAAAGCAAGAGACGACGACACGTAGGAGCAAGCGGCAACGAGCTTAGCTCGGTTCCTGAAGCTAGATACCATCACAAACGAAAATTCATTGCTGATCATCTGCGGGTGACCTCTCTCCTACTACGACTTGGACATGTTGGACATGGGCAAAAAAATCCCCGTCGATAGGTTGCACAAAAAAGACCAAAACATACAACAGCGGGGATTCGCTCGTGGTCACCCACCTAACTACTAATCCGCCGGTACACTGCTTGTATATGGCTGAGCGGATGGGAAGCCTAGCTTTCACTCATGCTACTGTCACAAAGTCCCTTACTTTTCCTGTATTCAGTAACCCTCTTTTCTGTATACAGGCTATTAGCACACAATCTGGTGTTAGTGGTTTGCTCCGCCTAGGTGCCATACACTGGCGCGTAAGCGCTACAGAGGCTCTTGAACAAGACCTAGCCCCTGCAACTACAATCTGCGAGAGAAAGGACGCGTTAAGAAGGCGGGGGAATAGGAGAGATGACATACATCAACCTAATACAATGTGTATCACTCTGTTACGAACACACACAGGATGAATCCCTTCAGCAAAGGATGCGAGGTTAAAGGCCAACCGTCGCACGAAGCAAAGGATAATGATCAGCGCAGGGTGCTCCAATCACGTGATTGATATCCCGCTAAGGCTAGCTGTCCAGAATAGTTGTGCATGAAGGGATAGCAAACCATCACAAACATCCCCAACATCTAAGATAGATAGGATAGCAGTAATAGCAGCAGACACAGCAACGAGATGTGAAGATCGTCCTTAGATGGTTTAGGGTTGGTTCTCAGGGTATGAGTGAGTTCGAGTGAACGGATTGGTTGGTGTGTTAGCACGATTGGTAGATCGATGTAACAACACGGTGGTTGAGAAACAAGTAGTAATCATTAGATTGCTACACAAGGATGTTTGCAAAGTTGAACACGATGAACTATGAGAGTGCATCGTAAGGTCTATATACAAGAGTACCGTCCATTTCTGTCTCTGCCATCCCTCTCTTCACGTGGCTGGTGTTGCCATCCACAGATGGTTCTCCCTAGACTGTATGGTAGGCCACGTGACTGGTAGTTACGCCAAGAATTAGCGATAGTTCTGCGCGCGACTTTCGCAACTATCACCCTCAATATATAGGATTAGGCAAAGAGCTCTTACAGCTCGTTGTGTTCAACTTCGATCTTACGTCAATCTAAGGATTACTACTTGATTCTCAAACCCTCGTGTTATTACATTGATCTACCAATCGTGCTAGTACAACCCTCTCGTCCATCGTCGCCCACTCATTCCCCGAGAACCAACCCTAGATCATCTTCGGACGATCTTCACAGCGCAGCGCGCAACATAGCTATTGTTGCGACCACAACTACCCTACTTTGATTATTACAAGATGCAGGGCGATAGAGAAAGATCTAAAGAACAAGAGTGCATACGCTGCTAGTTCACAAGTGAATGTGGTGGGGACTGGTTTAGGTCGAGATTAGATTCATCTCGCTGAGGGGCATTTCTCGCTTACGGGCAGGGGACGTTGATGATCACAAAGAACCAACGTGATACGCGCGAAGGATTGTTGAATTTCTGGGAGGGATTAGGCAAATCATAATCATGCAGACCCCTTGCATCGTCACTGAGGTGATGTTATTGTGCAAGAGCGGAATATCTGTTGCCTGGTTTTTGACTACCACAGTTTTGGTCAGTCAACTAGAGAGTATTGAGACATCAATCGCGACTTGATAGATACGCCGCACATGGAAGAAATGTTACCTGAAACAATACTAGTACATTTCTGTTAAGCTCTGTTGTTGCTCTTTAGTCCTGTAATCTCAACTCCCGCTCAAAGATCTTTGTTAAGATACTCTACAGGCCCAACATACACCTTGCGCCCCTTGAGAAAGAAGTAGACCAGCGAAAAAACCACAACAACGCCGTATATCAGAATATTCCAGTTCATTAGGTCAGGTGTTGGGTGCGGAAATGTAGGGAAGAAGGCGAATACCAACGCTACACATAAGTAGATGACGGACACACCATTGACCCAGATACCAGCGCGACCGAGCGAGAACTTGCAGGGAAGGAGAGGTTCTTTGTTCCACCTGTTGATAAACATGCATGAGATGCTGACGATGTAGGACGAGAGGAGAGCACATGTGCCTAGCGACGCAACGGAGTTGAACGCTACGGTGCTGCCGATGTTGATAAGAGAGAGTCCAACGGCAATACTAAAAGACACAAGAACGCTGTTGAGAGGGATGTCCCAGCCTGGTCGAACTCGGGACAGAAAGGCACTGAAAGGGACGCCGTGGTCGCGAGCAAAGGCGAAGAGCTGGCGCGAGCATGTTGCCACATTGTTGACACATCCAAACACTGCCATGATAGTCGTAATTGATGCTAGAGCTGTAGCCCCTGGGATGGACTGCGTGGCGTTGTACATGATCTGAATGTGGGGCTGCCCTGTCGGCGATAGGATGGCGCTTTCCACGTCGCCGAGGCAGAAACAGAAGGTTACCAGCATGAGGAAACCCAAGCTGCTGTTAACTACCGCTGTCCAGATCATGGCGCGGGGAAGTGTGTGTGAGGCGTCCTTTAGTTCTTCAGACATATGGGTCGCAGCATCCGCACCTAAGAGAGAGAAGATAGGCGAGAGCTGTCCCACCAGCACAGACAGACCTATGCTGCCCCATCCTGCGTTATCTTGAAATCCACCGAAAACCTGTTTGGATGGACTACGCGGCCCCAGAACCCACATTGTGATGAAGATGGCAAAAAATCCAAAGATGTGCAGGACTAGGACAATGCCTTCGACTAGTGGTAGCTTACGAGCTAACAGCGTGTTAAACAGGATCGAGAACGTTGCTACGGCAATAACCAGGAGGGTACCGTGCCATCGTTCGGGGACGTAGTTTGGGTTGTTGAGGATGACAAGTCCTTGGACCTGACCGCCAGCAAGGAAGGCGATAGATGCAATTCCGGTCTGCCAACCTAGCACGCACAACCAGCCGCTACTATGTGATCAGAAATAAGGCTCGTGGATGTGCTCAGGGCAACGAACACAAGATAACTTAAGAACTTCTGGTGTTTCTTCGGCGCAAACTCAGACACCCAATGATACTGTCCTCCGGAAGTAGGAGCCCTTCGTTCTAGTTAGCAATTGTCTCGTCTCGAAGGAACCCCAGCAACGGGCCGCCACGCACATTGAAGCCATCTCAGCCATCGAGACGATGACAAAGCCCATGCCCACCGCTGTGACGAGGAACATGACGATAGCGCCACCGGTGCCACCATTCGTTAATGGGATGATCAGAGTTCTGCTGGATGTCAGACAGCGCAGATCAAATGCTCATACGTACTCACGTCAGTATGGTTTCCCACGTCGCCATCAAAACCATGCTGTATCCAAAGATCGACACAAAACGAAAGTTTCGTCGCAGCTCCTGCTGCTTTCCCATACGATACATGTCCTTTTGGTCGCCAGCGGTCCCTTTCTTTTCTGAAACTATGCCATCCTGTTGTAACTCGCTGTCAAGAGGCTGGGCTACGGCAGCAGCTTCATTCTTTAGGTCTGACATAATAGAAAAACGAATATGAAGAGTGTAAGTTAACAGGAATGAGTGTGCGAGTTAAAAGGAATGATTGCGAATGTTAAGCTTCGACCAAGCGACACGACAACCGAGAAGTCAGGAAATTGCTTCCATAACACTAAGAAGGATGGGAAAGATGGCGCAAATGCACCTGGCTCAATAGCACGGGAAAGATTTGAGAAGCCAGCTGCAAGACGAAACCACTCAGAGGACGTGATGGGTGGATACAGGTTGGTGGTACAGGGGACGGGCCGGCCAAAGCCCTCGGGGAGGCTAGCACGCCGCCCGGCAGGGTAAGCGGCATTCGAGCCGATGCAAGTTGGATCCTTCACATCCTCTGGGTCGTCGCCTTGGCGTTGCCAGATTGCTGCGCCGATAATCTTCTCATGCTCACTACCCTCGGCGGTCGTGACGGCAACGATGATCTTGTTTCGTGGATTGGCCCAATCATTGCGCACCCAATCGTGCCAAAAGATTTGTACGTCATTAGAATACTGTGCTCGGTAGGGGTGAATTACTCGACCAAAGAGGTCTTCTTCCAGGAACGCACGAGCGCAGATGTCGACGATGACCGGTTCATCTGAGGGCTTTGCAAGGCGTAGGTGCATGCTTGGAATTTTGAACAAGTACTGATGCTGATGGGAAAAGACCCAAACAATCGGGTTTTATCTAGTCTTGGAAGCATTTCCTGACTTGGACTAGCAAACATTCATGTAACTTTCGAGCCGTTCCATGGTCCCATGGCTTCCTGAGCGTCGCTCATCAGCAGCATTCTCGGGTTGTCCACGCCGGCGATAGCGAGCCGTCGCTGATGCTACGGCTCGTACCATGCAACGCTGTCTTCCTTCTCCCCAAATTTCTTGTGCCCATGACAAACCTTACGGTTTACACCTATGATGCAAATGTCGCGTTCATCAAACCAGCACATCCCGCCTCCGTCGGGATTCATGCGCCTATCTGCAGTGCGTACTCTACTTAAGTAACCGGGAGTCTTAACTATAATCAGAATGGCACGGAAGAGCTCCTATCCGTCCTTCCTGTTTTATAGTGTAGTTACCTAAATTACGTTTAGTGTAGACAGCGTAAGCTGTCGTACGGTTACCGTATACGTGCACACCATGCACGCCGTCAGTCAAGGCACGCGCATCACCAAAACAGGCTACACAAGATTGAGGCTGTAGAGCCACACACAAGCACTTATTACAAGGAAACTTACTAGATTACTCTATAGGCCTATGCGTTAAGCTTTTTCACGAATACTTTCTTGGCCGAAGGATTTTGCGGACGCGAGTGTTATTTTGGTGTGGCGGTGTTAGGGTACGCGATTCCTGAAACGGGTAACCGAGGACGAAACTCAGTTAATCGACCTCAACACGGCACCGCGAGTTTTGACGGATCGCGAGGGTGAACTAATTTTCAGTGCCCTATGGTCGTATGTGGAAGACGAAGAGAACACATCACATCATAATCTTGCTATGAGTTGTAGCTCCGTCAAGTTATGAGCTATGTAGCTCGAGCTACACTCAGCATAAAATTGTGGGAATTCGGTAAAATTTACCCCAAAGGCTGTTTATCCCTTTGGCAACAGTGCTACCTCTCTCTACCGTCGTTGCATAATTTTACTGCTTAGCAGTGTTCATTAAGGTGTTTTTACAATCCGGCAGTCCGCGTTAGAGTCTCACGATCGGAAACGAGACGACTGCAACCGCTAACAGAGCTTCTCCAGCTATGATAGACTTTCCTCGAGATGGAAAGATTCTGGAACTTGCGCACGTTGCTACGTCTCGCACTACCCCTAGTTTGATCTCTTGAAAAAGAGAGGTAGCATAGGTGGTCGTCATCAACAATGCGCTACGGCATGGCATGTATTTCCACAAGTAAATGAGCGATCCAGAGTGTGGGATTCGATGTGGTACATAATGAAGAGATAAGTATGGTATAGATGGGAAATAACAAATTTGTGGCTAAAGTGCATGTTTGAGAACAGCAGGAAACAACCAACCTCACTCAATCGCAATCCATTGACACTCGGCGTGGTCCATGTCGGAATCACTCCAAGTACCCAAGTCCCATACAAGCTCTCTGTTGTTCGGAGCATTAGCATTACAAGCGAGCCGCAAGTTGCGCGAGCTGTTGAAGTCCATCTCGGAAATTGCGACGAATGTCGCAGGCTGGTTCTTGAAAGGTTGACCGTAGAAGGGCGCTTGGTTCCGACTGCCGTTGGGTCCCTGCCCGCGGGTTACTGTAGTCCTACCTGCCTTAACTCGCTTTCCGTCTTCTTCACTTGGGTAAGCGAGGTACTGCACTCGTGCCTGCCTAAAGTATCTGTCTGCCCACGATTCGATGTAGAGGTTGAATGAGTGAGGAGTAATTTCCGCAGCTCTACATTTGAGGGATAGGAAGCCGCCGTTGGGATAGTTGAATTCTTGGAACCAGACAGCAATCTTGGGCGGCGACGCGAAGCTCTGGCTGAAGAACACCTGTTGCACATATGCCTTGCGGTCGCCGGAGCAGCAGATCATGCCAGTCTCCAGATGGAGGTCATTGGGTAGCGTCAACCAGCTACATCCAAGTGAGTATCCGTAACAATTGTCAAATGATGCAGCTTGGACGCTGAAGCCGCTGGCATTGACCTCCGGCTGTGACAGAGACAGAGAACGCGACAGGCTACCTTCAGCATCAACACGGCTCAAGCCAAACAGCAATTTTGGTGTTTCCGGGTAAGATTGACGGAATGTGGTCGAGCATCGCATAAACTTGTTCTGGCCAGGAGTCCAGCCGTTGTTCTCTGCAATGTACTGGCCGTGCTGTGCTCCCCAGATGCGTTGGCTCTTTTCTTTCTCCATCTCTGCAATTCGATTATCCGCACGCTCTCGGTCGACGGCAAGTTGCTATCATCAGGTCAGCGTCTCGAATATCATGGTCTAGTGTAAAAAGACTCATACCTTTTCAGTGGCGTCAAGTTTCTGTCTCAATGCTGCAAGAGTTTTGCTACCCTCTGTCTGGTCCTTCTGAAGTGACGCGAGATCTTCGCTGTCGACTACATCTCCAGAATCCGTAAAAGCAACCTCAGCGTCCGAAGCCTTCGTCTCGGCGAGGCGACACCAGATGATGCCCAGCTGGTATATCTTCCCATTCTGGTCATCAGTTCGACCGAAGAAACCTTGGAGAGTACCTGAGCTGAAAGGCAGATCGATGTACTGTATCTTGACGTCCTCGAAGGTGACGCCGTCCCGGACAACAACACCGCTCTTTTCTCCAAGTTGTGAGTGAAGAGCGCGTGCGATCAGATGACGGCCACGATTGGTGAAGAGGCGAAGTCCGAGTACCAGCCTTGTTGGAGTTTCCTCTTCATTTGTACCTTTGCCTGTACCAGACGCGATAGAAGACGCGACTTGAGGCGCACCATGCTCGATGGATGCAGAGGTGATGCGCTCACCACTGCTGAAGTCCCCGAATATCTTTATTCGTGCCTTGTCCGCTGACTGCTAAGTTTTAGCTATGTCCGATACATCGCAAAGGGCAGACACGAAAAACTTACCTTGCCTTTCTCGACGAGCAGTCCGTTGGCATATTTGACTGCCAAGTACACAAGAGCGCCGTTAGCCATCTCGGTGCGAATCGCACTCACTGCCCAATCCGACTTCACGAAGTCGAGGTTGTCAAAGCCCTGTCCGACAAAAGATCTATCTCCTGCAGGATCAGATTTGAGGAAAGCCTCCTCCTCTTTAGCGAGCGCCTGTTCCTCAGCTTCAGTCAATTGTTTCGTCTCGATGACCTTGCCAGACAGGGGGCTGCCCTTGATACGCAATTTCTCAGGCACATCGATCTTGGGAAGTCGGGCCTCAAAGGCGACGGGATTTTGATATGGCTCAACGTGGTCTTCGTCTGTCGCCAGCTTCGGGTCTCTTTCCATCAGATCGACCTCGTTTACGATGCGAGCCATCTGGCGGCGCACGGCGGTTCTAGCGTCGCTAAGGCCCTTGATAGAAGCCTCGAAGTTGGACTCGGACTCTTGGAAAGGGTATAATCCGGTGTCCTTGTTCTTGTTGCCCATCTTGATCACGGCAGTCGAATAAGATGAAACCTTCTTCTGCTCCTCGTCGCTCCAGGGTGTGATTTCCAGCAGCTTGCCCTGTACCCCGAAGATCTGTTCACCGAGGCGTTTGTATAGTGACTTGTAGCTGACGAAGGAATCTAACAAGGTGCTTGTGTATACTTGGGCGTTTTCATACTGCAGCGCAGTGTAAGACGCGGGCTTTTCAGCAACGAAGCTTCTCAATGAGTCGTATTTCGTTAAAATCGCATATGTTCGCTGAGGACAATCAGCTACGAGATCTGGAAAACGCGCTGCCGCTGCCATCAGACTCTGGATGTCCCATTGCTGCTCCATTGGCTTGATGTGGCCACCTCCTGACCAATTTACCATGATGGTAGTCTCCGTGTTAGTCTCGATGTTGCTTCGAGCGATCCCAAGACTCGCTTCTCCCGAGACATCGACTGGACCAACTGTCAGAGCGACCTTGGCTTGGGCTTGGATATCCGACTTCTTGGCCTTGTTGAGGATCTTCATACTCACAAGCGCATTGAATTCGCCCCCCTCAACAAACCCTGATATGAAGGAGTCGCCATAGATCTCGCGGAAGTTGTCCTTGTTGACGGAGCGCAAGGGATTGTAGACGAGCGGGTCCTTGAAGTTGATAGTCTGGTTGACCACTTTGACGGAGATGTAAAAGTTGAGATCGCTCTCCTTGAACTTGTCAGAGTCCACGAAGCTACCTTTACCAGATCCTCCGACCTTTCCAGCTTTGATCGATAGCGAAGCCGACACGCTCATGTCTTCGGTTACATCGCTAAGGCGATCAACAAATCGAGATGTGTAGGTAACGCTCTGGCTGGGTCCTCGAGGAGCTGTTGGGTCGAAGTCGTACTTCTGGGAGTTCTCGGCCATACCGCTAAAGCGTTCAACGAACTGGTTCTGAGCCAGAATCTTGTTCATCTCTTCCTGGCTCATCGCCTTCACTTCTGCTGCCTTCGAAATAGCTTGACGAGCCTTTTGACGTCTCTGAGCGTCCCATGCTCGCTTCTCTGACCGGATTGCTTGCTGTTCCTTGAGATCTTCTAGGCGTCGGTCCGCCTCTTCTTTGCGCTGTTGCTGCATCAGCTCTTTTTGGTAACGACGGTTTTCGGCAAGGATCTCTGCCTCCTCCGCCTGCTGACGAGCTTTTTCGGCCTCTTCCTTTGCCGTTATGGATGGGTCGGGCGCCCCCTTTCCGGTGAGAGCCGCTCTGATTGCAGCACGATCAGGAGGGCCAGTAGATGATTTTGCTGAGATTTGACGTGCTCGGTCAGCTGATGTACCTCTTTGTGTAGGTTTGCGAGAGATAGGCTTCTCGGCGTTTGATCGGAGATTGGCTGCTATGGCATCACGGTCTACCTTGTCGTTCTTCGCGCCATTCTGTTGAAGATTGGCCATGATAGCCTCTCGATCGAACCCATCACCATCTTTCTCCAGGTCCTTCGACTTCTCCGCAGAACTCTGCTTGGCTGGCCTGTCCTCTGCGATCTTAGGTATAGGTACGGTTGACGAGGCCCTGCCTCCCGAAGCTTCTGCAGAATTGCTAGATGTAGATGTGACTTTTGCAGCCGGAGCCTTCTGCTCCTCCTTCTTCGATGTAGGTCTAGCAGAAGAGGGTTGTGGGGTGTTCACCTTGCCTTCTTCTGCGACGGCAGCACCTGCTTCAAGCGCCTCATCCGCATCGACCACTTCTAAGTCGGCAGAAGCCGATTCATCTGAGAGTGTGTCTTCTTTCACCACCTTCTCCTTGAGTCTCCCGGCATCGACTTTCTCTTTCTTGGCTTTTGCTGGTTTGGGCTCGTCAGAGTTGGCACTGTTGGCCTCTTTGGCAAGTTCGGGCTGGTCTTCAGGTCTCGCTTGCTCCTCTGGCTCGACCGATGACTTCTTGTCTTCTACGTCCGGCTTCTCGTTCAGTATTTCTGTGCACAATGTCAGAACCCTGCTGCGCTCGAAGTCGGTGGATAATTGAGCATCTGCAACTCAATGTCATGACAAGATGACGTACCTGCCGCAGCAGCTTCATCAGCAAGTTCTTCTTCGATGATCTTAACTTCGTCTTTTGCCTTCTTGGCGTTGGCGACAAGAATTGCGGTGGCCGGCTTTCCGACAATGACTTCCTTTTGTCTCGTCCAGGCACTCGGCAATGCATTCTTCTGAGCCATGATCCGCATGGTTGTGCCATCATTAGTGACGACGTTCTCAGGCCTCTGCTCGTCGATAACGACAGCATCGTCGATGCAAATTTGCTGTGTATAGGAATTGAACCTGAACTCGTTTGTCAGCGTCAATATGTCTTCTAAACTGGCAGCGATTTATACCCTTGGCCCAGTCGCATAGCATGGTTGTAAGGAGCGAGGAGAAGCGACATCTTGCCGAGCAATGAGATTCTATTCTGCGATGGAGAAGTGTTGAGTGTCTCAAATTTTTAAACTAAATAGATGGTCCTGGAAACAAAGACTCATAAAGGTTGATGCAGAAAATGAAGAGAGGGAGATAGGGTCATCATATAGACGACATTCGACTGTAAGCCTCGGTCTGTTACGCCCATTCGAGTTACAGACTCACCATCTCAGCTACCATAGATTCACCATTTGACCGCCAGGCGTAGGAGCTATGCTCGATCAAGCTCAGCCGTAGTTTGACTATCTCCGAAAGAGGACCCCTGGCTGAAGCTGAAGCTTAGAACAACCTCAGAGCCTGTTCTAGGCCTTCCTGAGCTTTGACAAGCGACAATGCTGTCAAGCGATCTTCCTGAAAGAGAGCCTCTGAACGGACCGTCCGAGCTGTCAATCCGCATTGGGTTGCGACCCCGCATAAAGGGTTTCCTAATTCCATTCGTGGCTGGATCAGACTGAGATCTAATGTATCGAAAAAGGTTTGGTGGTTAGCTGAGGAAGGTTCGAAGAGGCAAAGCGTGAATAGTGAGATAATTGTAGCGAATCACGAAAATCTGGGGCCCCTCGGCAAAGCCCGGTGGCCTCGTGGTTCGCTGTCTAGACCGCGTGGCGTTCGGGTTAGCCCGCAGGTGGCTGTACGTCCTGAGCTAGTGTGCACTAGCACGACCCGTGGCTTTGAAGCTGAACAGTTGCACACAACTTTCGAAACCTCCGTTTGTGATGTACAGGCGATTCGTCGAGACACTGCAACGCCTCTAATTCTCCCAATAAATTGCTCCACCTACCATGGGTGACTCCTGTCTCACTGCATACCTAGTCTCCATTGTAGACAATCATTCTCGACTTGTTGACAGCGAAAAATATTCGATCAATTCTGCATACAACAGCATCCATTCAATCCGCCATTATGGCATCAGAGATAGAGGCTGACTATTCGGCGCGCCCTGACGGCCCGGATGACAATGAGATCATGCTACAAACCCAACGAAAACTACCACTCACTTTACCATGGGGCCACACACCTATTCGACTGGGGACTACCTTTCATTCAAGCCGGCAGTCCACAAAGAATCCTTGGTCCGATGAGACACCGTTCGTGCTATCCGATCTGCACATGATCCCCAAAGAGCTGCACTTTGAGTATGGCACTACATCGACCTTCAAGAAGGTTTCAACAAGAAGGGAACGCGAAACGAAAGATCATCTCACGCTAGGTTTCGGCGTGGGCGTTGGTCTTCCGTTCCTTGCCGCTGCAAGTGTGAAAGGCGAATTTGATCAGAACATTGAGGAGAATCGAGATGTAAGCTGGGGTCTCAACGTATTCTAAATGATTATCGCGTCCTCAATTCTAACACGGGAAACAGTCTGAAAAGATATCCTTGAACTCAAGTTGTCGTGCCGGAACTATTGAATTTCAGAGGCAGCCTCGCTTGAACAAAGAGGCGATCATAGAGATTAAATACGGTGGAGGCTATGAAGCTCTTTGCAAGAAATATGGCGACTATTATCTCTCAGGGTACCGGCTCGGTGGGGATACTGGTATCCTGATAAGTGCAGCCGGGCATACACGCAATCAGATTGACACTTACGGCATTACAGCCACGGTCACAGTCCTTATGATCTCGGCTAGTAAGCACTGGGATAAAGACTTCAGATCATTCGTCGCTGGTCGCAGTACGAAACTGCTAGGTTACGATACCATCGACGGAAAGACATGGAAACGATCTAGCGCAGAAGGCGCGGAGATTAAAGAAATGCAGGCTTGGGGTGGCTACGATCCCGAAGTGGATAATGGCTCGCTTCGAGCCGATGCAGATGCTATCCTGACACGGTCGGAAAATACTTTGGAACGTATCTTGGACATACTAGAGAAACATGGCTATAGAAATAGCGCGAGTTTGACATTCAATCAGTGCGAAGAGCTTGTCGCAGAAGGAGTCGTGGTCGAGCTGCTGCTTCAGCCGCTTTGGAGACTACGCGATGTAGTGCAATGGCGGTTGGAAGATAACATCATATGAGCAGAACAAAGTCTTTGTAAGTTATCTAGTTGTAGTTCCGATATCAGCTATGGGACTCTAGCAGCCTCTTCGTTGATGATACATGTAACGAGCGAATCAGTCTCAACAAACTCCATGTCTTGCCACGCGTAAATATTGTACTTGAACAGTGAACTTCGGTCTCCCATCTTCTCCAACTGAGCCTCCGTGTAGATGGCTCGCCGTTCGTGCTCCGTCTCCCGAGATTCTTCTTGTTAGTCCTTGAGAACAAAAGCCCCAACGTCAAAGCGCACACCATACCCGCCACAGCGAACGATGGTGAGCTGTCGAATCTAGTTTCGCATTATAGCGACTCCTTTTCTATAAAGTTCAAAGAACCAACGATACCGCCCGAGTTGCCGACGCAGATCATGGTAGTAATGCGGTTTGTTGTTAGCTTCGGTGATATGCCGCATTGTTAACGATGTCTTCCCCAATAGCACGCTTCTCAAGACCTGCGATATTGTTCAAGGTCCAAGCATTGCACCCTGGAAAAGTAGGAGTTGACCTACACTACCAGCTCATGTGCGTACCAACCAGTACAACGGTAATCTCGCATTCTCCCTTCTATACACGATTCAAATCCCATTGCAGGTATGCGATTTTGGTTGAACAAAGGAGTAAGTATGGTACATTGTTCGTCTGACCCACTTTGACAACTATAAGACGTTTAAATGAGTGTCCTTATAACCTTTCCCTCTTCGTTTACCTAACGTGTTGAAACACTCAGCCGCGGATGATGACAGGACGCTGTTCACCTTTGATAGCACCGCCAGAACTCTCACCGCCACAAATGGTTGTCTGAACACCCTCATCGCTACAGTCGCCTGTGAAATACCCCTCGACACACCTTCGTGATCATATTAGCGACGTGTGTACAGCATTGTATGCGATAGAGAAACTTACGTGATCCATGGAATGAAGACAACATAGCCTCTCTCGCCTGGTCCAAACGTATACGAACCCTCAAAGCTCTGGGTTACAGATTCCGAGAATTCAAAACCAACACTAGCGGAAACAATACCCAAAGGATCGCTGACAGAGACTTCAGTGCTAAAGGTCGTTTCTTCAGTCACTTCCTCGCCTAGAGTTGCCTGGCATGATTCGGTCGGCGTACAAGTGACTACATCAGAGATGACGTAGTTTGTTCCACCGCTCTGAAACGGCCCTCTGGTGGCTTGAAAGCCGTCGCAGTCCCGTTTCGTGAGAAACTTGGTAGGTTGTGTTTCGGCGCTGCGGACCTGGACGGGAAGAGACGGCTCATCATCTGCATGCTGCAAGAGTGCAGCCGTCTTCGGCTCAATAACATTACCATCGAGATCATGAAGCATAAGGATGCCAGAGGAACTGGCGCCGACTCTGCTCGTATCACGCTTGCCTGGTGCGCCAGCGTCGGTGCATTCTTCGAGGCCGCAGCACCGAGACGCAATGAAGGTATTATCGATGGTGATCGCAGCACATGTTGCTCCCTCAGCGATGATGATGTTGCCGCCACAATTGACGTCGTTTGGTCTGACGGGCGTGCGAATAAGAGTTCTACAATCGTCCTCCTGCGGAGGGACATCGATATAGATTCGAATTTGACCATTCTCTTGGGGTGGGAAGCCGCTCTCCGTGAGTTGGTCACCAGTGTAGTATGGGCAATCTGGCCATCCCTAGTACTCGGTCAGTCGCTTCGTGCCAACGAGGGCCTGAGGTCGCTCACCGTTCCAGCGCTGAAGTAAAAAGGACAGTCAGTGCAGGTATTTTCCCTGCATGTCCACAAGGCTGTCTCGTCCTGACGTGCTGACAGTAGATTCGGACTGGTGGGCATGCCGGAGACAGCGCCGATCCAAAGCATGGCTCCAAGAGGCCGAAACATGTTGATGGTGATAGAAGAAGATGTTTTAAACAAGAAACTCGGAAACTGGCTGCTCTCGAGATGATATTGAGAAGACAATGGGTGTCGAGAATACCTTTCCTACCGAATGATAGCTGTTCTTATAGGCGTTTGGGACCCTCTGGTTCTCTCTCGTTTGGTGATATTCGTATTCAGCTTGCATCAAGAGGGCGTTTATGCTGACAGTCTTCGAGGGAGCGTTGAGCGTTACATTGAGCCGTTCCTCGGCGCAGATTTGTACTCATCTACTGGTACCAAGAGGCAGATGGTGTTGGTTGTTTGCCGCTCTCACGCGCGATGACATAGATATTCTACATCTTCTTCTGTTTTTGGCAGCACGATCGAGAATATACTTCCTTGGGGACATGTTAGAACATCCGTTACCCGTGAAGGAGGCTATGCTGGGTGGTATACTACTCATCCATAAACGAAAGAGTCTTTCAGGCATTGTAAGCGCTTGCCAATTACACACGCCGATGGGGCTTTCAAGGCAAACCTCGACTGCACATCTTGGGTCCCGCTAACTTCTAATGGCAACAACTTGTAGATGTTTCGTGGAGAGCATCAATAAGCTTTCTCTTGATTGAAACCTCCACACGAAGAACTCAAACAAGAGCAACTCACCATGGAAGTCGAATGCGAACGACGCGTCTAGTTAGCCTAGTGCTGAGCATTATAGTGGTCATGCACTATTCCATAACACTCCGGCTGTAACTGTCCGTTCAATACGTGGAGCCCTGAAGGGTTTGCATTCATTTGATTTCGAAGTGTCAATATCGTTCATAGGTTCGTAAAACGGGGCGTAACGTGATGTCAAGGATGCTGGATAATTGGAAGCGAAGATGTGTACCTGGAGGCGGCACTGAAGTGCCGCGCGTGCCGTCCCCGCCCTTGGCATACGTCTGGGCAACCTAAGCATCGCGATGTACTGAGACAACAAAGGCGAATGTTACATTCACTAGATCCTCTTATGACTTCGGTTTCATAACATCCGGGTCCGACGGCTCACAGTCAGCAAAATGACGTCGCAATGCCGCAGCGCTGCTATACTTAGGCAGTAGCATGAATTGGGCGGAACGTGAGTATACGCTGCTTTCATCGAAACTTATTCTTTCATTCTAAGCTCTTAGACTCAAGAAAGCCGCCACAATCATGTCTGCTTCTCTCAGCTCTATCACATCTGGCGAAACTCAGCCCACTCCTACTGCTTGCTCACCAAACATTGCACCTAACGGGATCAATGTGACGGGACTTGTAGGTCAAATTTGCCAAGTCAACGTCCCTCCCAGCGAGGTCAACATCACATCCTGCTGTGACAGCGGCGCCGAGGTGCGCCTCCAAGACAATTGCACTCAATGGTGCGAGGTTAATGACGGGGGAGACTTCTTCGACTGTATCAACGACATGACCGATCCATCATACCCTTTTCTTAGTGGACCTTGTCAAATCGTAGGGGAAGACGCGACAGTAACCGTATCCTCAACGGTTACTGGGGTAACGCCGACAACATCTACTTCCGAGGGAATGTCCCAGTCTACCGAAGAAGTGTCGGCTTCCACGACTGGGTCAGGAGGTGGAGCTGAAACGACCGAAACTCCTGAAGAAGGTGTGTGCTTGTTCACTCTGCCCACTGAAATACTCTATCAAGGCGCTAACCGAACAAGGCACGGCCGCAGGCAACTTGGGAGAGTATCAGCTTCGTATAGTGGTCTTAGCTCTAGCTGCAACACTAAGCATTCTTGCTATCCTTTAGTCAATATTCTATATGGGGGATACTGGCAAGCCATATTAGATCCATGTATCTACCACCACATCATCTCGAAGTGAGATCCCCCTATGTGATGCGCACACCGCAACATTCACCTTCGTTCGGGCTACTGAGGCGGTGCTTCATACCGCTTGATTTACCACCTCAGACTTTTCTTGTCCATAAACATCTTGCTTAGCATCCTCTTTAATCCTGCACTCATATTGTTTGAATTTCCGTGCTGCGACGCCCGCTTCAAAGATCTCATCGAGCTCTTCCAACGATCGCGTTTTCGTCTCAGGGAGAAAGAAGTAGAACCATATCACGCATAGAAAGTTCGAAGCTGCCCAGATATAGGTATACTGCGGGCCCTGCAAACACGTTAACACTGACACTACATACCGTAAGGAGTGGTTGTACTGACCCAGTCAAGATCTTGGGGGTTGATGAAGTAGGGTGAGCAGAAGCCAACCAGCCAAGCAAGAAAGTACCCCAATGCGTTCGCACTTCCTACAGTCCAAGCGCGCAGGCGCGAACTAACAAGCTCGGTTGCTAGAGGACTTGTGGCAACACCCACTCCAGCATTATAACAGAACATGAACAGCGCCGTAAAAGCTACCAACACATTCCCAGTTTCCGTTGAATTTGGCTTCGCACTACTCGCAATCCCACAAGCGAGCTCACATAAACCGCACATTATGGCTCCGGTGATCATGATCGTTCTCCTACCGAACAGTTTGTTCATGGAGAAGAGACCTAGATGTACACCAATGAACCCAATGCAAGAGTTCATGATGCTGTATTCGAACGCTTTTGTGATACCAGCGATGGTAAAGAAGTACGTTTGGTACCCAATGAAGAACCAAACCCCACTGGCTGACTGGCTTGCGATCGTACCCCAACAAAGCAATGTACGTCTTAAGTCATTTCCACGGAAGAGATCCAGAAATCCCGAACTCTGGCTCAGTCTACGCTCTTCAGCTACGCCACGGATCATCTCGGCCCATTCTAGTTCTAACTCGTCCCCATGGTCGAAACGAAGGCGCTCCAAGGATCTGCGCGCTGCGTCGTGCTGGTCGTGGTGCAAAAGCCATCGAGGGCTCTCGGGGACGAAGAAAAGTGCTGTGCCGAGCAGGACTGGAACAATGAACATGCAGGCGAGAGGAATCTGATACGAGAGTTTGGAAAGATAGCGTGAAGTGTAGTTGTCGATTACCGAGCCGATAATGCTTCCGAGGTTCACATAGAACGAAAATAGGCCAACCATGATTCTGCTTATTGTCAGTGATTCAGCGCAAGAAGGTGATTACAAGAGACATGCTCCCTCAGGTGCGCAGGCGCTGCTTCGCTACAATAAACTGTCGAAAATACGACGAAGAAGCCATTGGAAAAGCCTAAGAACAGACGACCGACGTAAAGGCCTGTGTTAGACGTCGATCCAATTTGTAGCGATACTGCTCCTAAACAAATTATGCATGCAAGCCATAGTGCTTTCTTCCGACCGAAGTATGTACCAAAGACACCGGCGGCGATGGCAGATAAGCACGACCCGAGGTTTAACAAAGAGGTCATGAGTTGCTGTACCGTCGACTGTTCAGCGCGTCAGTCAAGTCCACGTAGCAGATTGATTATACCTGCGTCGATGCCATAGCCCAGTGGGCTCGCCGGTTCCTCGTATCCAAACACCATCAAGAATCCAGGCATAGCTTGAAGGCCACCGACTGCAGCAGTATCGATTCCATACTGCATACTGGCTATCGCGACAGCCGAGCATATGATCAAGCATTTTCGATTAGCCCACAAGGTTGTCTCCTGGAGTTTTGCCATTGCAGTCCATACAGTAAGTGATGGCTACCTATTGATAAGAAGAAATATCTGTAGCCTTAGGCAGCAGGAGATGACCAGGCCAGGCCGTCCTAGTAGCTTCTGCAAGCCATATGAGCTGGCGTCGTGGGGCAATGAGGAGAAGTTCATGTCTACTCCGCACTGGCAGGGGTGTTATGCGGAGATGTATGGAGATGCTCGGCGCCTTACCGTATCAAGCAGTGATCAACCTAGCGGATTAGGGATCTTGAGGGAGATCCCGCATGATTTGGCTGTGACCCTTGCGCATCGCATGTCGCCATTTTAGTATATAGGTACTGCTTGTAGTATAATCAAATCATTGCAACCCAGCTCAACACTACTGATAAAAGGTGCTGAAGGTGTACTTAGTCTCGCGTTCATACTTGGCCAAGTCGTTCAGTGCTTGCTTGCCCTCCCGAAGAATGGTTTGCTTGATCTCTTCGTGTCTCGGTGTAAACTTGACTCGGAACGGCTGGGGTTTCCAGTTGGACCCACTCCTATCAACGATCAGCAACCTTCGATTGGTCTATCTATAAGCATAACTTACGAGTAGTTGAAGATGTCAACAGGCACTTCTTCCCCCGTATGCTCGTCCACTTCTGGTTCCACCTTGTATGCCCACACCAATCGTGCGACACTAAGATTTGTTCCCTGCAGAGTTGCTATCAGTCAATCAGTCAGTTGTCAGTTCATCTTTGCGGTTCAAACTGTCAGTCTGGAGGTAGTGAACTGACCTGATTGACTGCCAAGACATTTTTTAGAATCGCGAACTGAGACT